AATAAATATGTGTACCACAATAACCCCAGTCTACACTGGTCATTGTCCTGCATTACTGCATACTAATCACCATCCCAGCTGACACAGTGAATGTCTTCTTCATTGAACTACAGCTTGAATGAGCTGAATAGAATCCCTAGTCATTGCTTGAAATGGCTTTATAATAAATTAACAGTTACTCTTCAGGCAGAGATATGTATGCCCATCACGCCTCACCCTAGAGGCCAATTATGTTGACCACACCTACAGAGTCCATGTGATGCCATATGTCATTTGATTTGTTATAAACTAGAGCACATGCTACTCCAGAAGTGTTTGAGTCAAGTGCTTAACAGGCAGGTAAAGGAAAATCACAAATATTTTTTATTGTTTGTTTTTCGTTTCAATTAAATAGAGGTCCTTTTTTTCTTCTGAGAAAGATATGTAGGTATTGCTGACTGTGAACAACAATTTGTGTTTTAATGTACATTTCTGCACTTTTCAGAGTTGACCAATGGCTGGCCAGAATGGTTCCTCTCTGGAGCTCAGCTTCTTGTACTACCAGTCCATGGCAGGGACAATAGACTTCATGACAACAATAATATCATCTGTTCTGCTGTCCACTGCCCTACTCTTCATCTTCCTGAACCTCATCATGTTCTTTGCCATGTGGAATAAATCCAGCTTCCGTGAGACTTCCCGCTATCTTCTATTCGGCCAAATGCTCCTCAATGACTCCATCCATCTGGGATTCACCACATTGCTCTACTCGTGTAGCATGGCTAACGTCACCCTCATCAAGGTCCTCTGCTCCATGATCGTCCTTGTAAGTGGGACAACATTCCGCATCTCCCCTCTAACGTTGGCTGTGATGTGTCTGGAACGCTATGTGGCCATCTGTTTCCCACTCCGACACGTTGATATCGCCACCCCTAGGAGAACCAGTATTGCCATTGCAGTGGTCTGGTTCCTGGGCTCTGTGAACTATGTAATTGATATCATTTTTTTAGCAGCCACAGATGCCCATTTCCTAACCAGAACCATTTACTGCACACAGGAGCGCCTCTTTCTGGCCAAGTGGCAGTTTGATGTGTTCCAGGTCTTCAATGGTGTCTTTCTTGTTGCTGTGGGGATCACTGTCATCGGCACCTACACAGGCATCATGATGGCAGCCCGGTCCATCAAGGCCAAAAAGGCCAGTAGGACGGTTCTCCTTCACCTGGCCCAATTGTGCCTCTGCCTCTCCTCCTTCTTGTACAGCAGCATTGAGAGAGCCCTGTCCACAATCAGCTCAGCCCTCTTTATCCACCTGCGCTACCTGAACTTCTTTCTCCTTGTCCTCCTGCCCCGCTGCCTGAGCCCCCTCATCTATGGCCTGAGGGATGAAGAAGTTCGTGCCCTCTTCCTCTGCTACCTCCGCTGTGGTCGCTGGAGGATCAAACCAAGCACAATACATTAATAAAATATATCAATATCTTTCAAAATGTAAGGAAAAAGTCATAAAGACATTTTAAAGAAATTTATTTGAATTTGTAATAAAAAATATTGTACCTGCACTGTGGGGAGTAGGCGAGGCGCAGTTTGTTTGGGGGGGGGGGGTGACACAGGTCTCTGATCATTATTAATTTTGCCAGGTCCCTGTGTTCCTCCTTCAGTGTGTTTGTCTTTTTTTTCCCTTGTCTTTATATCCAGTAATTACTCAGTATATCATTTTTTTGCTGCAGAAACAGCACAGCCCCGTACCGTGTCCTTGGCTTAATTTCCAAATCTAATGCACCTTTACTGTTACTAAAATTGTTGTCTGTATCTGTGTAGTTGCTTGTATTTATTTGTTTGCTGTTGTGCTTTAATGTATGCATTCTGAAGAGAAAATAAAATAACAACAAACGCTTATGTCTGGGATATCAGGGTCTCATTTCCCCAACTGTAACTGATGTTTACTGAGACAGTATTCAGGGGGAATACAAACACTTTCTTCCTATAACAGGAAATGCTGAACCACTAAACATATTGTAAGTACTGGCAGGGGGAGGGGGTTCCCAGGTTAGTTAGCCAATGTTGTTTTATCGATTCGTATATTATCCTCCCACCAGTGACGCGAGTGGCTGGTTGGCACTTTCAAGGCACATGCCACTCTTTCCAGTCAGTGCTGTGTCTTTCCAGCTAGTGTAAGCTGTATCCATTTCAAACTAGCTCCACCCCCTCAGTGAATTGTGATTGGAGGACAGGAATAACTGTTGTAAGTTTCTTTGCTTTATCAAATCATGTTTATTTGCCTTAATTTCCTGTAAGACATCAGTGCTGCACAAACAAACAGATCAATTAAGTGGAATCAGGGACAGCAGTGAATGATATGCCAAATGATCTTCCATGCACCCCATATTTCTAATATTGTTGTTGTTTTATTTAAAAACAATAATAATTATATTATTAGGTAATAATCCAAGGGGCTGCGCAGTGGGCAGCATATATCTCTTCATATCAGCAAAGTTGGGGGCTCCCATGTCACCACCTCTGTTTCTGCGTAGTTTGCACGTTCTCACTGTGTTTGGGGGATTTTCTCCCTTAGTTAAAAATGTGATGGACTGGCATCCTGCCCAGGGTAATCCCCTGCCGCATCCCATATGATGCCTCCACATTCTCTCTGAGTGGGGAGCTCTCCTCAGCAGTCCTAAAACAAGTGGTTAGTTCAATTGGTGTCTCTATGTTGCCCAAAGTCTGTATGACTCTGTGTGTTGTGGGATGTAATGGATGGTCTTCCTGTCCAGGGTGATCCCCTGCCTCGTGCCCCCCCCCCCCAGGACCCTGTACTGATTTAGCAGCTGGAAGATACACAGATTATCACAAGCCAATTATTGATATCAATTATTAAGATGCCTCTGATTGACAACAGAATTTCCCCGCTGAGCTGTCGAGTTTGTGATGATTATAGAGGCTGAACATGCTCCCTGCTCTGGGGAAGGACCTCCAAGATCTGGGTGTCTGAGCTAGTCCTGCCTCCACACCTCTCCCCAGTGCTGCCATTAACGCTCATCAATTATTAATGTCAGGCCTCTGATGGACAGCTTGTTTGTTCTGCTGCTGAGCAAACAGGGCTTCCCTGTGGAAATGAGCTGCCTTGTGACAGTGCGGGACCCCACAGCTCTCAGCCTGGGCCTAGTCAGTGCTGAGGCCTTCTGAACAACAGGCCTGATTGCAGCCTTATTGTGACCTAATGAAAACACCACATACTGTACACTCTGCTGCCTGCACGTGCAGTGCTATAGCCTGTTAACCAGTTAAACAATGACCAGAGTAACTAAACATTAAGTTCATTTACAGTTGTAATTTTGTAATAGGTTGTAACAGTTAATGTGAAGAAGTTTTATATGGAAATTTTAAGAATAATTTGTATTTTATGAATATTAAACTTCAGTTTACTAAAAGTACACTGCTACTTAGCCCCAGACGGAAAAAATATTTTAAAAATCATAAGGCTAGAGCAGGTTTAACCTTGTTCCTCTGCAGTGACCTCTAGTGTCAGCTGGGCTCCTACAGGGAGGTGAGTGGAGTTAAGTGAATTAGCTGTGTAAAGTTACATGATGAATCCTGCAGCATGTAAAGGGAAAGGAAGCGGATGGCTGACAGTGCTCACAACAGAGGAAAAGTGGACCTCAGCTTCCACAATATTTATTGAGACATAAACAGGAAAATGTATAAGTAAACCTGTGTGAAACATTTGTATTACATGCTCAGTGTGCCTGTATGGTGACACAAAGCTTAATAAATCAAAAATGTCCACAGAGAGGCTGGTCTCAGGCTTTTACCATCTCTGGTATGAAGCAGGACTGAACACGTCATCATAATTTTATTACGATATACAGTAGAACCTTGGAAGAACTCGAATGGCTTTATTTCAACCAACTCGGATGTTGAGCAGGTCTCTCTGATTTTTTTCGACTTGTACCTCGACTGAAATCTTGGAACTTGTCTGTTACAACTTGAACAGAAAATCAGACAAAGACCAAACAAAACAGACCTGCTAAAATTTGTACGGAAGGGGAGATGCGTCTCGATCCGTACGCATCTCCCCTTCCAAACAATAACCCCTCCATTTCTCTTCCTCTCCACCTGCCACATGCAGTATGCCATCAGCTCACTTCAATAGGTCATTTATTTAATGTTTATTGGTTTTGTATGTGTGCGTTTTCATGTGTGTTTTATATTGATTTTTAATGTTTTTATCATTAGATAGGTAGGTAGATAGGCAATCATTTGGGGGTCTGGAATGGATTAAATTCATTTACATTATTTCTTAAAATAAAATCGACTTGGACCTCGACCAGCCTTCCAGAACAAATTAAGTTATGTTCCAAGGTACCATTGTATTGTGTCATAGATGGCAGTGAAAAGAAACAAGTTTGCATAGAACAAATAGGATAGATATAGCTACAGTAACAGTAGTGTGATCCAAAGGTGAGGACTGCATCAAAAACAGAAAAAAACAAACATGATGCAACACATGCAAATTCCCTTAAAAATCACTGAATAATGCCCTACACAGCTTCATCATTCTTATTAGTGAATAATGACAGTGAATGTGAGATACCTAATGATCTTCTCCTTTAAACTACAGGTAGTACCAGCAAAAGGGAGTTTCCTCTATATAGAACCCTTCATCCTTACTTGAAATGGCGTTTTAATCCATTAATAGTGACATTCCCAACAGAGATATGCATGCCCATCCTGCCTCACCCCAGAGGCCTACTATGCTGGACACACCTACAGAACCCATGTGATGTCATGTGTCATTGGATTCATTATAAACTAGAGCACATGCCACTTCAAAAGTGCTTGAGTGAAGCGCTCAACAGAGGCAGGTAAAGAAACAAATATATCTTTTATTGTGTCTATCTTTCATTTCAAGCAAATAGGGGCCCTTCTCGTCTTCTGAGAAACATATGTTGGTGGTGCTGTCTGTGAACATCAACATATTTAAAATGTAAATCTGTAATCTTTTCATTTTGTTTTAGAGTTGACCTATGGCTGATCAGAATGGCTCCTCTCTGGAGCTCAGCTTCCTGCAATACCAGTTCATAAATGAGAAGACAGACTTATTGACCACAATTATATCATCTGTTGTGCTGTTCATCTCCTTGCTTTTCATCTCTTTGAACCTCGTCATGTTTCTTGCCATGTGGAGTAAACCCAGCTTCCGTGAATCTTCCCGCTATCTTCTATTCGGCCAAATGCTCCTCAGTGACTCAATCCATTTGGGATTCGCCACATTCCTCTACTTGTGTTCCCTGACTAAAATCACCCTCATCAAGGTCCTCTGCTCCATGAACGTCCTGGTAAGCAGCACAACATTCCGCATCTCCCCCCTAACGCTGGCTGTGATGTGTCTGGAACGCTATGTGGCCATCTGTTTCCCACTCCGACATGCTGACATCGCCACCCCCAGGAGAACCAGTATTGCCATTGCAGTGATCTGGTTCTTGGGCTCTGTGAACTATGTGATTGATATTATTTTTTTAACAGCCACAGATGCCGAGTTCCTAACCAAAAACATTTACTGCACACATGAGCGCCTCTTTTTGGCCAAGTGGCAGTTTGATGTGTTCCAGGGCTTCAACGGATTTTTCTTTGTGGCCGTGGGGATCACTGTTATCAGCACCTACACAGGCATCATGATGGCAGCCCGGTCCATCAAGGCCAAAAAGGCCAGCAGGACGGTTCTCCTTCACCTGGCCCAATTGTGCCTCTGCCTCACCTCCTTCCTGTACAGCAGCATCGAGAGAGCCCTGTCCACAGTCACCTTAGCTTTTTTTAAATACCCGCGCTGCCTGAACTTCTGCCTCCTCATCCTCCTGCCCCGCTGCCTGAGCCCCCTCATCTATGGACTGAGGGATGAAGGAGTTCGCCCCCTCTTCCTCTGCTACCTCCGCTGTGGTCACTGGAGGATCAAGCCAGCTATAATTTAACAAATTTATCAAAGCCTGTCAAAATGCATGACAAAAAAATGTAGTATTTTAGAGCCTAGCATTTTATCTCAATTCAAGTTATAGAAACTATAGTCCCAGAGCTGTGGGGAGTAGGCGAGGCACCATCTGTCGGAGTAGTGAGGCAGACAATTGTCTCTGATGCTGACTAATTTTACCAGATCTTTGTTCCACTGCAGAAACAGCACAGCCCTGTACCATGTCCTTAGTTTTATTCTGAGTTCTGTGGCAATATTCATGTTTTTTTTTTTTTACTGTGCTCTGTGTCTATGTAATTGCTTGCATTTATTTGTTTGCTGTTGTGTTTTAATATGTGCATTTTGAAGAGAAAATAAAATCTGAAAAACATAACGCTGGTGTTTGTTATATCAGGGTCTCATTTCCTCAGTTGTAACTGGTGTTTGCTGAGACACTATTTAGGGGCAATACAAAGACTTCTACATACCACTCTTTCCAGTCAGTGCTGTTTCCAGTCAGTGCTGTGTCTTTCCAACTAGTGTAAGCTGTATCCATTCATGCTAACTCCACCCCCTCAGTGAACTGTGACTGGAGAACAGGGATAAGTCTTGGGAGTTTCTCTGTCATATCAAATCATGCCTATTTCTCTCAATTTGCTGTAAGATATCAGTGCTGCGCAAACAAACAAATAAATTAATAAAGTAGAATCAGGCATAGCAGAGAATGATAATGAAAGATTAATGATCTCCCAAGCACCCATATTTCTAGCATTTTTGTTGTTTTGTTTATAAACAATAATAAATATATCATTAAGTGATAGTCACAGGGGCAGCACATATCTCATATCACCAAAAATGGGGGCTCCTATTTCACCTCCTCTGTGTTTTTGTGTTGATTTTGCACATTCTCACTGTGTACAAAAACATGATTAGTTGAATTAGTGTCCCTAAACTGCCCATATTATTTATGACTGTGTGTAGCCTTGTTATGTTGTTATCCCCTGTAGTGTGCCTTGTCTTACCTCCAGTACGCCCCTCTCCCAGGTACAGCATAACCAGATGGAAGATAGACTAATAATAATAATAATAGATACTTTACTGATCCCCCTAGGGAAATTGTTTTTATGCGTCCCTCAACTTGCTCTTTGTAGAGTAAGTTGTCTGTGAAGGGCAGTCACCTGTTGGGGTACCCAGGGAGCTTGGGGGTTAAGGGCCTTGCTCAAGGAGCCACAGGCGTGCTGAGGCTGGGTTTGAACCAGCGACTTTGTGATTACAGGTATACAGGCTTAGCCCACTGAGCCACACGCTGCTTGCAGGGAGACGCGTGATCACGCGTGCCGAATTGCAGGATGCCGCGTGAAAATAGACGCATTTTTAATGGCCAGATCTGTAAGGACCAGAAAAACGGGCGCGGAGGGTGGAGCCTGGCAGTGGCAGAAGAACGAGCACCCGATCACCGGCTTGAAACGATCGGTGTTGGGCGGAACTGTCAAATCGTCTCTTCATCCTGTCCTGAGAGACGCCCAGGGTTCTCCTGGCTAATGCTCTGACCGTGAACATGCGATCACGAAGAGCGCTAACATATTTACACACGTCTTGGGTAGGGGGAAATACACAGGGAGACAGCCATTGTTCCTGCAACACTTTCAGAGGACCTCGCACAGTATGGCCAAACACTAATTCGGCCGGACTAAACCCGGTTGATTCCTGCACCGTATCATGTATGGCAAAAAGGAGGAGCGGTACCCCCTCATCCCACTCCTTTCCTGCATCCAAGCAGAAGGTCCGCAGCATGTTCTTAAAGGTTTGATGAAACCGTTCCAGCGCCCCCTGACTCTCTGGGTGGTAGGCACTGGACACAGAGTGACGGACTCCCAATTCACGTACGACTTGGGCGAATATTCTGGACATGAAATTGGTGCCGTCACAAAATTGGACGATTTTGGGAAGCCCGAATGTAGTGAAAAACTTAATTAGGTTCTTCACAATCACAGGGGTCCGAAGACTACGTATGGGAATGGCTTCCGGGTACCGAGTTGCAGCACACATCAAAGTGAACAGGTAACAATTACCTGAGCGAGTTTTCGGCAACGGGCCGACACAATCTATAATAACATGTTCAAAGGGTTCTCCGAATACAGGGATGGGACATAACGGGGCAGGTGCAATTGTCTGATTTGGCTTACCCACAGCCTGGCAGACATGACAAGTTTTACAGTACATTTTCACATATGAGTTAACTCCCGGCCAATAAAAATACCGTAACACACGGGACAATGTCTTCCGAATACCGAGGTGACCTGAACACGGGTGATCATGAGCTAAGGACAGTGAATATGTACTCATGACATTGCAGTAACAGTGACCAAAGGACGCTCGCGGAACCACCACTTGGAACACCGTAGCCCACTCAAAAGGCGAGTCTGGTGGGGACCACTGTCGCATTAGGACCCGATTGCGGAAGAAGTACGCTGTGGGATGCTCCTTCACGTCAGGCTTGTCCATGGCAGAGGCACGACAGGGTTCCAAGGAAGGGTCCTCTTTCTGAGCCGAGATCAGTGCATCCCTAGTGGAGGGAACTTCAGGGGAGATAAAGTTATCAGGAACCGGGGTCACAGACTCAATTTTCAAAGGTTTGTCCAACACTGGCACGTACATGAACGTGTCCCCGAGGTCAATGTCGGCGAGCTGGCGCCGCTGTGCACAAGTAAGCACACAAGCAGGAAACACCGTCGGGTGTTCCACCGCTACATCATTTTCACAGAGCACGGGGTCCGGAACGACTTCGGGTAGAGGAACGATTCTCTTCCCCGCTATGTCATTCCCAAGAATAAACATAATGCCTGGGACAGGTAACTGGGGCTGGACAGCTACTCGCACGTATCCCGAGAAATCGGGAGTACTCAAATATACAGTATGCAGGGGAACTCCAGCCACACATAAATCAATTCCCTGCACCAACACATCCGTACCACAGTATGTATTGACAGACAGGGGAATAACCCCTTCTACGAGGAAGGACTGCGCGGCACCCGTATCCCGCAGGATGGTCACAGGGTGCCGAGCATTCATCTCACTAAGCAAAACCAAACCAGGAAATACAAATGGTTCAAAAGCAGCGTCGATACGAGAGGACGAGGGCAAAGAACTGTCGGGGCAGGCAGCAACATTCACTTTTCTAGCTGCTGCGCGAGCTTCCTTGCGCTTTAACGCAGGACAAACAGATATAATATGGCCCACCTCGTGGCAGTAAAAGCACTCGCGTTTCTCCACGGGTGGTGGAGACGATGCTGACGAGGGGGAGGATACAACTGGACGAGTTTTACGAGGCAAAGGAATCGGAGCAAACACAGTTTTGTGGGTCAAAACGAACTCGTCAGCGAGGGTGGCAGCTTCAGTCAAAGAAGCGACCTTTTGTTCATTTAAATAAACTACCACCCGGTCAGGAACACAGTTCTTAAATTCCTCTAAAAGACCAGTTCCTTAAGCTGGTCGAGGTTAAACATACCACTGGCGCCGCACCACTTATCAAACAAGACAGCTTTCTCGCGTGCGAACTCCACGTATGTTTGGCTGGCGGATTTGGGAAGCTTTCGAAAGTTCTGCCGATAAGCTTCCGGCACTAACTCATAATCCCTAAGCACAGTAGCCTTCACAATGTCGTAATCCAGGCTCTGCTCTAACACAAGAGCCGAACAAACCTCCTGTGCCTTACCCACAAGCTTACATTGCAGTAACAATGACCAAAGGTGTTTGGGCCAGTTCAATGTCATAGCAATGCGCTCGAAAATGGAAAAGTAGGCGTCTACCTCATTTTCCCGAAACACAGGAACAAGACCGATGTGTCGGCTCACATCAAAGCTCGATCTACCAATTTCCGGGGAGACAGGCGAGCTCAAGGGAGACCGGGGACGGGGCCTAGGAGCGTCTTGGGCGTCAGCCTGGTCTCAGGCGGAGCGAGCTGCGGGTGGAGGCGTACCTGGTGTGGGTGCTTTACGCAGAAGAGGCATCGGTTTTTGGTCGCCCATGCTCATCCGACGTAACTCCAGCTCCTTCTCAGCCTCCATCTCCATAGCCCAGACACGGAGTAGCTGAGCCTGGTACTCCTGTCTCTTAATCTCAAGCTCTAACTCCCGTAACTTAATTGTCAGCAGCAGCGAACCGGGGTGGCAGCAACACTAGGGGATCCACCCAACTCAGGCAGTATACCTTGCTGAACCAATTCATCGAGCAAAATTTTCTTAACGACCCACTTGGAAGCCTCAGCGGGAACCAAAATGTTAAAGAAGTCTGCTATCTGTAGCAGATCATCCTTGCGGCACACATCAAATTGTTCGAGTGTGGGGTAAAAGGTGAACGCAACGAGGTCGAATTGGGCCATCACGATTACTGCAATCACCACAACACCCCCCCACACAAAAAAAATCCGCCAGACAAGCACGAAAGGGAAAGAAGGAAAGGACGAGCCCCCAATTTTGTTACGATCCAGTCTAGGGTTGGACCGCAACAAAGTGAAAGGGAAGGAGGGATTGGGGAGGACAGGACAACTAGGGCTAGGAGAAGGGAACACGGGACACAGAGGGAGTCTTTTTTNTTTTTTTATAGTTTTTCACAAACACAGTACAAACTCTAGGTGTAACGAACGTCAGGAGTGACAAAGGCCAAAGAAACAAATAAAAGCACATCTACCGAGTAACCCAAGCTGAACTACCTAAGGGAACACAAAGAAAATGGTGAAACGAAACAACAATGCCTAAATCTATCTCCCTGACCAAACAAACAATAATCCCCACGTTAACGAATAAACAAAAAAAGCAGACACTCCCTACACACCTAGTGAACACGAAACACAAAGCCAAAGCAAAGGTATCAAAAGGGAAGAACCGAGAGGCGAAGTCGAAACACAGGCGAAAGTCCAAAACCAATCAAGCAATCAGAAACCAAGGCGAAAGTACAAATAAGGGCGAGGCGAGAATCGAAAGTCGAGGGCAAATCAGTCATACACAGTCAATCAACAAAGCAAAA